TTTCTGAGTTCTTTCAAGGCCTTTTGTTCTTGTGGAGTCAGTTGGTTGTTTTCTTTCACCTGTTGAGTTATCCGTACTATAGTTTGACTTATTTCCTGTTGTGTTTCTTCACTGATTCCGGAAGTTTTGAACTGTAGCTTTGAGGCGTCGCTTGTATTGTAGTTTAATCCTTTTTGGAGCAGGTGTTCTTCCGTATTTGTTAGTGGTTGTTTTGACAGATTGATCACTCAGTTGTTTGTGTTTTCTTCCCTGGGTGGTTTTGAGATCTTGATTAGTTTTTTCTTTAAGGTGTTTCTTCTTTGTTCTCTATGTCGTTTGCATGATATCTCGATGGCTGTTGTCACGATTTCCAAATGTTCTGATGTGAGCATCCTTTGTAGCTTTATCTTTTGGTCTTCTATGACGTGTTGGTATTTGCAGATCCTGTAGTGTGCATCCGTTATCATTAGGTGTACCATTCTTCTTCCACTTTGCTCGGCAATTCTCCATCCTAATGGGCAGTTGATTGGAGGTCTATATCTTACACTTGTTGTAAGTGTAAGATATAGATCCTAAGTTTGAATCGCGCTAGGTGGGATCGTGGATGCGCACTGCCAAGGAGGAGTCCCACAATAGGACGAAACGGCCATCCACTGCTTCCAGGTTTTCCGTGGTGGTCTAGCTTCACTTGTCTCATGATCTCAACTGTTGAGATGACATGCTTGACTGTAACATCAAATAAATTATATTTTGAACGTGATAAAGACCACTTATCCATTTAAATCTACAGATACAATTTGTCAATGTAAATTCTTATACTTCACATATACGTCCGTACTATCACACTGAAATCGATACCGTTTAAATATTATTTCTTTGTTGCATAATTATTAAAATCTTTTGCCTTAGATATTTGTCATAATTTTAATAAATACAATATCAGACTGAAATTGTTTTTTGTTTTTTCATAAAGGGAATTATATTTTATGCATGAATAACGCTTTTTTATTCAAAAAGAAAAAAAACTGACAAAATAACTCTCTTTACCTCTCTGTGTGTGTGTGTGTGTCCCCCCCCTCTCTCTGTCTCGCTCTATCTCCCTCCCTCCCTCCTTGCCTCCCTCTATCTCTCTCTCGCCTTAAGTTTTTTGCAAGGATAAACTCCCTCAAAAAGAAAACTTTTTTTTTTTAAAATATGAATCAAACAAATTGAAATTCATATCCTACTATCTATTTGAAAGAATAATCAAACGTTTAACGTCTCTTGTTAAAAAAATCAATGAAACTCTTTAAAGAGATTTTATGATATATTAACTAGAAAAGAAGAATACATGAGAAAAATTTCTTTGTTTTTTTTGGGGGGGGGGGATTTTGTATGTTTCAATATTTGACATTACCATAGTTCATGAAAATGCATCAATTTTATACATGTTTGAATAAAATAGATACTCGTGGTGGATAAAACATACTATTGAAGAATTCATTAGATTGAATCATGAAGTGAATACTAACTTGAAATCTTGAAGGGAAAACGAAAAAGAGGAAGGTCAAACAACATAATGCATTAAGAATTGGAAGAAGATATTAATAGAATGAATAGCACCTGGAAAGGATTTCACAGGACAAAGTTGAATAGAGAATGCTGATGGGCGGCTTATTCTCCTCCATGAAGGGTAACAGATGTAAGTAAGTAAATTGAACAAAATAATTTACAGAGGAAAGCTAATATTATATTTTGAGCTTATTTTAGCTACTTTTGTACAGGTATACATTACTGAAATTAATAAAAATGGAGTATTATTAAGTTTATCGGTTGTACTGGAAGTTAATATTAATGATACCAAGAATATTTACATTTTATTTGACTGAAATCAGCTAGATACCCATTGAGCTGAAAGTTTACTTTACTAAACTCTTCTAGTGTCCTTGAGAAAATAAAGCTTATCTGTGAGCAATCAAGACTCACTCAATTCATCATATAAAAACCCAAAAAGTAGTTAGGGATAAAATTTTGGAATTAAGATATGGATTTAGGGCTAAGGTTTAAAATTTGAGTATGAAGCTGGAATAGTATTTTGGGTTACATGTTATAAGTAGGATTTAAGGCTGTGTTAAGATTAAAATATGGAGTTATGAGTTCTGGTTAGTAATCGTTTAATATGGGTTATCAAGAACTTTCAACTGTGTCTATTGTGAGACAGTTACTCGCTGATGACAGTGGTAGATGGGCGCGCAATATCGTGGATTGGTTGAAGTTAGACATTAACACCGCTGGATGCAGGCTTAGTGGTCTAGAGATTAAGAGTTCGTGCGCGAGGTCAAAGTTCCTGGGTTCGAGTGCCGTGTGCAGGATCGTGGATGTGCACTGCTGAGTCCCATACTAGAATGAGACGGCCGTCCGGTTCTTCTAGGTCTTTAATGGTGGTCTAAAATCCATTCATCCATAACATCAATCTAAGCCCAACAATCGCTGCAACCTTATACTAATAATTTTATATTTATAACTAGAAAAAATTTAAAATAATTTTTCAATCAACAACCAAGTCCGATTGCCATATATATACAACGTCGTTTTTCTAAAGTACGATTTTTTACAAATTATTTAAGAAAGTTCGCTCAATAAAATTGATATAATATTCTGTTCTGAAGATTTGTAGAAAAAAAAACATATCAGGAGGGGTTTCGTGGAGATTTTAGTAATTTCAATAATTGAAATCATGAGTCAATTGAAGCTAGACCACCATGGGTTCGAATCTCGCGGGGCGCGAGATCACGGATGCGCACTGCTAAGGAATCTCACACTAGGACGAAACGGCAGTCCAGTGCTTCCAGGTTTTTCATGGTGGTCTAGCTTCAGGTGACTCATGATCTCAACTGTTAAGATGACATGCTTGACTGTAACATGATCTCAACTACTGAAAAAACATATTGTCTTAATATATAACTAAATCGAGTGGTATTATGATGATGGTCATTTAGATGATTTTGGCTGCATTGTGTTCTCAAAGTTAAGTGATTTTTATTGCAGATCATCAGTCATTGTCATTCTAGACAATAGATTCAGCATCTATATGATGTATAAGCCAATTTTTCAGTTATTCCACAAGGTTACATCAGATAGTTAATCGTAATCAAGGCCATCAACACATTTGTATAGTAAATGGAAAATAATTTCTCAATCAAGTAAATTCAGTAGATAACATACAGAATGACAAGAAAAGCTCTATACTTAATTTTTTATTATTATTGGCTTTATTCAATATTATATTTTTGGTACAATATAGAATTCACAGCACAAACTAATTAAACAAGTTTCCCTTTCTTATTTCTTAATCGATCCTTGCGATAAATATTGAGTAGCAACCAGTTAGATATTAGCAGTTTGGGTATCAACAACTGATTAATGTATGTTCTTCTCGATGCATATAGCCAGCAATCACGACGTCTTTGATTGGGCTCTTTTGTAACTTGTATGTCGTAAACTTTTCACAAACACACCTGAATAGGTTATGAGAATAATGGGCATAATGTTGTGTTTAAGCAAACAAGAAAACAGATGGCATGTTGAAATATCCAGATAGTAGGATCAATTAACCCAGATATTCAAACAGGCCATAACACGGATATAAATTGTTTGAAGCTGTGCACTGATTGAGCAATAGATTGTGAGACATGATTATGACCAAGTTATTGTCATTCACAAAGTTGAGTCATTTATCCTATACTCCAGTGAATGGATATCAAAAAAACAAAATAGTTGACGGCCAAAATATGAACGATTTTTATTTAATCGCATTCATTTCTGAGTACTAATCAAAGTTTATACATCACATAGATGTATATTCTCTGACAATACTAGTTGTTATGTATCAGTTTCCGTTAGACAAATTACAGGCGCTTTTTACTGACGAAGACCATCTAACATGAAGCCTTGATCAACTAGGAAATCCTGATGATCACCTACAACCACTTGATAGTTTTAAGACTTCCACGATGAACTAATAAATACATTGAGCCCTTGTCGGAGTACTATGGAGAGTATATATACAGCATATCATTAATCAAATTGTAAAGAAACTTAAGAAGTACTATTCAAATGATTTGATAACGTCTAACTTCGTCTATCACTTTGAACAATAATAAGTAACTATTAATAAATTCGTAAATTAAGTGTATTGAAAATAGAAAGAAAGTCACTTGGTATTGTTTGGCTCGTATCTTCCCATTGAGGTTTAACACTTCAATTGATCAGTCTGTTATTGGCATATGTGCATACTGTGCGTATGCTAGCCACTATCCATCATTGCTTACAAATAGCTTGTGAATTAAGGTAATATAGAGGCATACGCACAGTATGCACATATGCCAAAAACAGACTGATCAATTGCAGTGAATTCAAATTCACCCCATTGCACAAGCAAGTGGCTATCAGGACTCAGTAGCTGAGTGGATAACGCGATGGCGTTTGAAGCGAATGGTACTGGGTTCGAGTACTGGAGTGAACATCAACTCTGAGATGCAGATACATCCAGCTGATGAGCTCCAAATAGGACGAGACACGCGTCCGGGATTCCACTGCTAGCCACTATCGATCATTGCTTACAAATAGAAAGAAAGATTATAAAGGCAAGCCTTATTGTAAACGTTCATAGATGACAGATAACTACTGTTTAGATAATGTTATACACATGTATTCTATTATTATAATTATTCACAGTTTAAATGTTTATCAATCAGGAAGTGTTATTACAATGTTGAATATAATTTGTGCTGAGAATCGTTGATTATAATCAAACATATGTTATTGAATAAGATGAGTGTCATCTTGTAAAATATTTTAAAATTGCCTTAAGGTGCCAATAGAATGTTTTTCTTCTTCTTCAATGTCCATTTACCATTTAATGTATCTATGTGCCTATTCATATATACTACTTATTATTACATATTATCAATGATAGAAAAGAAAAAACAGAGATAAGATCAGTTGATGAACTTTTAACCTATATACTTCAAAAAAGAAATTTAATATGAAATCACTTCCTCATATGAACATGAAACAAAACACGAATGACTTTGTGTAAATAAATATTGACTTTCTGATAATAAAGATAATGGTAGTGATAATAATGATGATGATGACGATGATGATGATACTTTGGATGATGATGATGATGCTTTGGATGATGATGATGATGATGATGCTTTGGATGATGATGATGATGATGCTTTGGATGATGATGATGATGATGATGATGATGATGATGATGATGATGATGATGATGATGATGATGATGATGATGATGATGATGATGATGATGATGATGATGATGATGATGATGATGATGATGATGATAATGATGATGATGAAAATGCCGTGAGTCTTTATCGATTGTGATGGTTGAAGTGTGTGTTTCTTACCTCTGATTACCATTCACTCACTTCTTTTGAATGATATGTTAACCTAGAACAGTTCTGATCAATCAGATGACTGATGATGGTGACAGTTTTCCATCAATTTTCCTGAACATTTTTTTTCGATTTACAAAAAAAGAACTTTGTTTGTTAAAAGCTTTATATTTCTTTGATGATTTTGATTATTACCCTAAAGAAGTCCAGACAGGTAAGCTGAACGAAGCATTCGAATTATTTAAATCTCAATATCTGAGATAATTTCAAATATAATTTTCACATATAAAGAATTCTCTTTACTCGGCGCCCAATTTCTGTCAATCTGTTCGTTCTAATCATGACGAATAATCGTATAAACTTTGTTCTTTCATTATAACACCAATCTGTATTTAGATGTTGAAGGTTGGTAATAAATCTCAATATTATTATCAGCATAGTGCTATTTTCCGTAAGGATAGATCGTGTACAGACCAAATCGCAACTCTACTGATCATTGTGGAACAATCAATTGAATGGAATTCATCACTCTACATCAATTTCATTGACTAAGAGAAAGCACTTGATAGCGTGAATAGGACAAGACTATGGAAACTTCTTCGACACTACGGCGTGCCTCAGAAGATAGTCAATATCATACAGAATTCATATGATGGATTACACTGCAAAATCGTGCATGGAGGACAGTTGACAAAGTCGTTCGAAGTGAAGACCGGTGTTAGGCAAGGTTGCTTACTCTCACCCTTTCTCTTTCTCCTGGTGATCGACTGGATAATAAAGACGTCAACATCTGAAGGGAAACGCGGGATACAATGGACATCTAAGATGCAGTTGGATGATCTAGACTTCGCAGACGATCTGGCCCTTCTATCCCAAACGCAACAACAGATGCAGGAGAAGACAAACAGCGTGGCAGCAGCCTCAGCAGCAGTAGGTCTCAACATACACAAAGAGAAAAGCAGGATTCTCCGATACAACACAGCATGCACCAATCCAATCACAATTGACGGAGAAGATTTGGAAGATGTAAAAACCTTTACATATTTGGGCAACATCATTGATGAACAGGGTGGATCTGATGCAGATGTGAAGGCGCGGATCGGCAAAGCAAGAGCAGCATATTTACAACTGAAGAACATCTGGAGCTCAAAACAACTGTCAACCAACACAAAGGTCAGGATTTTCAATACAAATGTCAAGACAGTTCTACTGTATGGAGCAGAAACCTGGAGAATTACGAAAGCCATCATCCAGAAAATACAGGTGTTTATTAACAGTTGTCTACGCAAAATACTTCGGATCCGTTGGCCGGACACTATTAGCAACAACCTACTGTGGGAGAGAACAAACCAGATCCCAACAGAGGAAGAAATCAGGAAGAGGCGCTGGAAGTGGATAGGACACACATTGAGGAAAGCACTTAACAGTGTCACAAGGCAAACCCTCACATGGGATCCTCAAGTCCAAAGGAAAAGAGGAAGACCAAGGAACACATTACGCCGGGAAATGGAAATAGACATGAGAAAAGTGAACATGAATTGGATGGAACTAGAAAAGAAGGCCCAGGATAGAGCGGGTTGGAGAATGCTGGTCGGCGGCATATGCTCCATTAGGAGTAACAGGCGTAAGTAAGTAATTAATAGTGCTATTTATTATTACTATACAATGTACTTAAATGGGTATTGTATGATTCTGAAGTTTTCATTATTTTATTACATTTGGAATGTTTATCATCAACCCTGCATTTATATTATGTTGGCTTATTTTGAAATATAGTAGTAAATTAGTTATCGAAGTGATCAGTTGTGGAATATATCGCATTTTTTGTAATGCGAACTATTTCCCTACCGAACTGAAAGTTTTCAAGCCTCGTGTTTAGGTAATAATAGGTTTAGATCATTGTGTCAGTTAGAATCCAGTGAAATGCATATTTGCAAGTCAGTAGTAACTTTCTATACCGTGGCTGTGGCTAAAAATTGATTTTAAAATACTCGTTTTATTTTATTTTTGACTCATTATCTTGATCTACCTACTACATGAATTTAGTAGGTCAGTAGGTGACCCGTCCGAAACAAAATGGACCAGGTTTGAGTTGAACTATAAATGGCAACCTAATAGCTATCCTAAGAATCTTCGTATCCATAATCTCAAAAGGGGTTTTGTGAATATTATAGTAATTTTAACAGCTGAATTCATGAGTCAATTGAAGCTAGACCACCATGGAAAATCTGGAAGCGCTGGATAGCCATTTCGTTCTATTGTGGGGCTCCTCAGCAGTGCGCATCCGCGATCCTGCCTCGTGGGATTCAAACCCAGGATCTACCAGTCTCGGGTGCGAGCGCTTAACCATTAGATTACTGAGCCGGCCGGCATCCAACGGTGTTAATGTCTAACTTCAACTAATCCACGAAATTGAGCGACTGTTTTTGTCACGACGATATTCGACGGTGTAAAACTCAGTGAAGTTGAAATAAAAAGTGATAGGGAATATTATTTCTGAAGCACACTACTCATCAAACCGAATTATAAACGGAGGAGAATTAATTATTCGATAGCGTATATTTTATATCGTGTAGTGTGTAGATTCCATATTTATGGATCTATGTAACTGTTAGTGAAACATAATTAATGACATAAAAACTACAAATTTGTTTTTCACATGAATGTTAGGCCATCTACTATTTCTAACTAGGCTTCTATGAAGTTGTAATGTTAATTTATGGTATGATTGGTGGTGAATTCAATTCCCTTTTTTAATTGTAATATTACATGACACTGCACTGATAACTCAGTGGTAGTGTCTCAGACTATACAGTTGGGTAACGCAGGAAAAAATTTATCTAACAGCACCAGTTCATTCCTAACTATATAAATCTTTCTGACAATTCTTCAGTGTCACGAACTGTAAGTCATTATTTCTTTTTTGTCGACCGTCACTATCTATCTAACACTAAGAATGATAATAGATCATGTACTGGAATATTACCCCTAAACAATAGTTTGTATGAAAGCTAGGGATACTACATCCGTTGCTTAATTTCGTAGGATCTGAACTTATAACTTAGTTGTTTAGACTGAACTGACTTCATTGATAAACTGTTCCATAGCAGAATATTAAAAGTATAATATTCATTCACTATTGAAGTCTTTCAAATAAGATAAGTACCTACAAATAAATCAATTCCTGGGTTAAAATCAAAATATTAATTTAATCAACATGTGGTTAACTATACAAATGGATATAGAAAAGAAAATATATCAGTCTATAAATCCAACTAATTAACTAACTAACTAACCGATCAGTATCATTTAATTTAATTTGACAAACCTTCTCTTCAACAATCATAGATAAACATCTTATTTGTAAACAATGAATGATTGATAGTCTTTTCATTTCTACAATATGGTTAATCAATCAAAAATAAAAGAGACAATACATTTTGATTGACCAGTTGATTTTGACCTGAGTAGGTGATACAATAATCTAGATAGAATGTATATATATGTATTCGTTATTCTGGTTATGTGTTTCAAGAAGTTTCCAGGATCTTTAAGTCACTTAGGTTCCTAAAACTATCCTTGTGTTTTTTTTTCTACATAAATTTATCTTTGAAGCAAGGCTCTCATTTCACTTTTTGTTTTCTGTTCAAGATTCTAGAGTTGAAAGCTTTTAGGAACTAGGATTTGGTTAGGAAAACGATATCTAGTCGTATTAACGTGTTTCGTTGGTGGATGTCTTGATCTTTTCTACATATTATACGTTTTGGTGTATGTTGACAAAAATTGTTCAGAATTCAATCTTTCCTATCGACAACGGAATATTACAAAATTTCATGAACAAATAATACCTTTTTATAAGGTGATATTACCATATAATTGACAGTTGTTGATACAGTATGACATGTACATTTGAAAAACCAACGTAATTAATGAGTCATTTGTGTAGTTCGTAGTTGAAGTTAGTCGTTATGGCCAAAGGTTTATCACGTTTCCAATGTTTAAGAATTATGCTTTATTCATTTTTCTGTTAATTTATTAGGTGACTGCATCATATTGGAATGTAAATTTCAGTAGAGATTCTATTTCAACCCCTGACTTTCACTATATTTATATTTTTCATTCAGGATACCGACATGTTCTAAATGAAGAACAGTAGTGCATGGAGGACAGCTGACAGATGCATTCCAAGTAAGGACCGGAGTCAGACAAGGCTGTTTACTCTCTCCCTTCCTTTTTCTCCTGGTGGTCGACTGGATTATGAAGACCTCAACATCTGAAGGAAAACATGGAATACAATGGACAGCTCAGAATCAATTAGACGATTTGGACTTCGCAGATGACCTAGCCCTCCTATCACGTACACACGAACAGATGCAGATGAAGACAGCCAGTGTAGCAGCAGTCTCTGCATCAGTAGGCCTCAGCATACACAAAGGGAAAACTAAGGTCCTCAAATTCAAAGCGGAGAACAGCAATCCAATCACTCTTGATGGCGAAACTCTGGAAGATGTAGGATCCTTCACATATCTGGGAAGCATCATCGATGAACAAGGAGGCTCAGATGCAGACGTAAAGGCGAGGATCGGTAAAGCAAGGGTCGCATTCCTACAATTGAAGAACATATGGAACTCAAAACAACTATCAACCAATATCAAAGTGAGAATCTTCAATACGAACGTCAAGGCAGTTCTACTGTATGGAGCTGAAACTTGGAGAACTACAACTACCACAATCAAGAAAGTACAAGTATTTATAAATAGCTGCCTTCGCAAGATACTCAACATCCATTGGCCGGATACCATCAGCAACAGCCTTCTGTGGGAGAGAACAAACCAACTTCCAGCTGAAGAGGAAATTAGGAAAAGACGATGGAAATGGATAGGACATACATTACGCAAATCGTCAAACTGCATCACGAGGCAGGCCTTAACTTGGAATCCTGAAGGGAAACGGAAAAGTGGAAGGCCAAAGAACACATTGCGTCGGATAATAGAAGCAAATATGAAAACGATGAATTACAACTGGACGGAGCTAGAAAGGATTGCCCAGGACAGGGTTGGATGGAGAACGCTGGTGAGCGACCTATGCTCCTTCACGAGGAGTAACAGGCGTAAGTAAGTAAGTAAGTAATACCGACATGTTCATAGAAGATAGCTTCAATTGCATGAAATGAATTTGTTGGTAAAAATATATTGACAGCATACAAAACTCATCCGCCGAATGAACGGAAAATGACAAAAACTATTGGATATAATATAATTAATAAACATTGAAAACGTTAGGGATAGCCATATTCATGGTTAATTTGTGGTTTCAGTGGGGTAATCTTGATCATTCTTACTCAACATATCATGTTAGATATTGAACAGTGAAATATTATACGGAATGATGGGCAGAAGTTCATACCTCTGATTTCTTCACTTGTGGTTTGTGCTACGTTCGCTACCTGATTAACTCAGAATACGGTATACAACTACGGCACTTGAACCTATAGAACCCCACAGTCGCAAATTAAAAGACAAAAGAAGACTGAAGGAGTGCTTATTGGGTAAGAATCAAAATGTACAGAAAATCATGGGCATTTATATGTATAAGCGTTTGTTATATCAACATTATAATCCACCCAGTCCGCAAAGAGGTATGTTATGCTACTGTCCAATAGTACCATACCACATTGATATTCTGGAAAGTTCCATCACGCTCTGATTGGATGGAAACTCTTCGGCTCCTATAGGGTCTCTGGAGGCTCCGTCGTTTGAATAATTCAGGTACTGACTTCAACATGAATTCCCAAAATTCATATAAGTCGTGAGTGATGGAGTTCAGTCATGTCAGAATTAGGTCGCTGACGATTAGTCATATAGAATGATGCTAGGATTGTGTTATTAAGAATTCATAATAATATCTAACTTCAAAAATGCGATCAAATCCACAACTTCAGAAAATCTTTAGTAAAAATACAAAGTTAACAGTAGAATGACTGATCTGAAACTTGAAATAGATAATCAGGAATAAAGAGTACTCTAATAAGATATGAATGATTTACAAAATTGCACAATGTAATGAACACAAACCATTTCAACCACAAACAAGTAAAAACCAATTTTAATCGATCGTTAGATGTGAATTTCCCAAAAAATGTGGTGTCGGCTTTACTTTGATTAGAATATATCATATTATCTGTGAATCTTTTGTATGTGTTTACAACTCAATTAATTTATTCTATTTTGTAAGCGGTTTTGTGCTAACAAGTCACAAGTAAGACAAAACCGACATCCTACCTTTCAGTGTTAACCATAGTTCATTTCTTCTCTGAATGAATTTATGTTATTGTTTGACAGTCTACCGAAATGTATAAAATTATTCCACTAGAAAAAACGTTCAGAGAAACCCTGAATGAATGTTTTTTCGAAGTTCAGGTTATCTCACAAACGGGCACATATCAGTATAAACTAGATTCCACCTATCAATCCAAGATGTTTCACTGCAATTTTTAAAGCTTTGGAAAGACATTTTATCATTGTATAGAGTATCTTATCATTATGCATCCACGATAATTCATGAGTTCAAAACTTGAACGTTGAATTCTCGTAACTAGAAGGAAGATTTTTAGATCACAAATTCCTCATTCATTGATTTTCATTCTCTAGTCAGTTCACAGAAAAGGCTCATCATTGTTAAACTGACAATAGTGATATACTTTTTTTACCCACTGAAGGCTTTTTTCCGTTGTGCTTCAAATGATATCATGTTGCACAGTCTGTACTATATATGGTTAGTCATAAATCCATAATAATAATAATAATAATAATAATAATAATAATAATAATAATAATAATAATTACTAGTATAGGGGTTGTGGAGATTATTAAGTTTTTTTTGATTGAGATCTTGAACCAATTGATGTTAGACCATCACAATTGAAAACCTGGAAGCACTGGACGGGTAGAGACAGTTATCTACTTAAGTACAATGGAAGTTGGTCGCTCAATTTCGTGGATTGGTTGATGTTAGAAACTATCACCATTGGATGCCGGCTCAGTGGTCCAGTTGGTTAAGCGTTCGCGCGCGAGACCGAAGGCCCTGGGTTCGAATCCCGCTCGCGGGATCGTGGGTGCGCACTGCTGAGGAGTCCCACAATAGGACGAAACGGCCGTCCAGTGCTTCCAGGTTTTCAATTGTGATGGTCTAACATCAATTGGTTCAAGATCTCAATCAAAAAATAATAATAATTATTATTATTATTATATGACACAGATGACCTTTACCTTGTACTGTCATACACAGTACTAAAATAATTATATATGTTAGGTAGTTGAAATCAATTGGTAGAAATCTCTGAACCTAACCCTTTTAGTAGCCGGGACTTGTCACAAAGACGTATCTGTAATCTTAAACAAAGTGATGCTTCCAATAAAGTTGAACTGGTGTCACACAACTTCACAGTCTCAGACATTATCGACAAGCTATTTAGATCATGACTGACTTCTTGATTACTGAGTGGTGATCAATGTCATGGATTTCAGTTCCTTCTTATTGAAGATCGAGTCACCTAGACTGGTGGTCACATCGCAACTTGGTCGATAAGATTCGATCTGCACCATTATGCCCCAAAATGCCCTGGTACAGCCGAGGGTGGCGAGATTCAACTCTCTCTTGCCAAATGCTCTCACACAGCCACGCGTATACAGCCACTGCCAGGGAAGTCCTACTCACTACCTTCTCGCGGAGTTACTATTGTTTACGAAATTAAGAGGGCGAAAAGCAAATGTCCGACGCCTTAACCTCGTTAATGAATATGGAGGATCCACATGGGGCAGTTCGAAGACCCTCATTCCAAACCTGTGGTACACAGGGGCTCTGGGATCCTGAGGGAGCAGATGGCGTATGAACCAATTGTTGGTCACCGACTACCATGGGACTGCACCTCCTTAGGTTGCTCTACTGCCTTGTAAATTAGACCTTTAGGTCAAAGGTTGCGGGTGTGGCCCCCTAAGTAAACGACGTGCTTCAGTCTGGGCACCCGAGCAGTATCAGAGCCCACATACAAATCATGCGAATTATGTGGCGCACAGGTATTCGGTGCCCCTTTGCATCAATCTTTATATGTTCAAATAAATAAATAAAAAGATCTGCACTAAGAAGAACCCGACATACATAACATTGATCACCACCTAGTGATCAATCAATTATAAATACTGAGATATTCACTTGTATATAAATATCTTTATTTTATATTATTAAATGATAACCAACTTCTTTCCTAACACCATGTTATTCCATTTATTTTTCTCTTCTTAAAGTACAGACTATTACTTACTTACTTATGCTGGTCAGCGGCCTATGCTCCATCGGGAGTAACAGGCGTAGGTAAGTAAGTAAGTAAGTAAGTAA